CCCCCCCCCCCCCCCCCCCTTGGTCTTTTCCCATCCTCTGTTTTTTATTTCATAATTTCCATTGTTACTTTCACATGAAATAAATGAGGATTTCCTTCTGCTGTGATCAGAACCGGCACCTGGGGGAGATACAGCGAAGGGGAAGTAGAGGACACGGAGATTACTAAGGTGAGGCTGTCGTAGATCATTAGGTTATGTTCCCCCGTGTCTGAATGTCTATCCACTGAAAACACCACCAGAAGCGTATGTGTTTCGGCGCGTTGTAAGGCCGAAAAAGGGCCACGTGTGTTTTTTTAACCATTGTGGTCCATTGGTAGCCATATTAAATGGACTTCCATACCGCAACGCATGTTACAGTGCAACATAACATGCATAAATGTGCTGCGTATGCTCTTCTATGGCGGCTACGTTAAGGCCTCCTCTACTATCATGGTGCAGAGCTCCAGACCTCCTCTACTATCATGGTGCAGACCTCCAGACCTCCTCTACTATCATGGTGCAGAGCTCCAGACCTCCTCTACTATCATGGTGCAGAGCTCCAGACCTCCTTTACTATCATGGTGCAGACCTCCTCTACTATCATGGTGCAGACCTCCAGACCTCCTCTACTATCATGGTGCAGACCTCCAGACCTCCTCTACTATCATAGTGCAGATCTCCAGACCTCTTCTACTATCATGGTACAGACCTCCAGACCTCCTTTACTATCATGGTGCAGATCTCCAGACCTCCTCTACTATCATGGTGCAGACCTCCAGACCTTCTCTACTATCATAGTGCAGATCTCCAGACCTCCTCTACTATCATGGTCCAGATCTCCAGACCTCCTCTACTATCATGGTGCAGACCTCCTCTACAATCATGGTGCAGATCTCCAGACCTCCTCTACTACTCTACTATCATGGTGCAGACCTCCAGACCTCCTCTACTATCATAGTGCAGATCTCCAGACCTCCTCTACTATCATGGTGCAGACCTCCTCTACTATAATGGTGCAGATCTCCAGACCTCCTCTACTATCATGGTGCAGACCTCCAGACCTCTTCTACTATCATGGTGCAGACCTCCTCTACTATCATGGTGCAGACCTCCAGAATGGCCGACGTGGACTCTCTCCCATCTATATCTCCTCATCGGAGACTTTTTATTCCTGATCATTTTTTATGTCTGAAATTTCTAACACCACAGCTGTGAAAATCTGCTGCATACACACCCAAAGACCCAGCGGGGGGTGGGGTACAGTTATGATTCAGCTGTCCTCCCTAATCTAGAATTTAGACTACTAGCTCGGATGGCAATCTCAGACCTGTGGGTCCAACCGTTTGGTCAACGTATATCTAAGCTGAGCACAGAGCCTTCAAACATCACACACTGCACCATAACTTATTTTATACACCAACATGAATATTAGCATTATGTTACCATTACTTTGCAATAGCTTTCTTGTTTGAAACTGCGGCTTTGACCTTGCAGGTACTGCATTCCATGCCACAGTTAATAGATATTAGTAGTCCCTTCTCATATTTCAAGGTTGGTGTAATGGGTAGTTATAATA